CTTCGGCAATGTTTATTGTTTTAAAAAGAGATTAATATATGAAATTGAATTTATACAATTTCTTTGTTCTTGAGAATTAACAATAAAAATAATAAACGCTATTTGTATATTAGATTGTTTATTTACATTATTATAATGTTTAAAGGAATAGTTAGCAAAACATTGGCTTATTGCTAATTGATTCGAAACTTATAAAATGGTAAATAATAAGGATTTCTTTACTATTTACGTATTTTGATAATTTAGCAAATGTTTATAAATTAATGAATAAAAATTTGTTTTCATATTTCTTTCTTTATAAATTGGTAAACGATAAATATTGCATTACATTAGTTTTAATTGTATTAGTTTTTAGAATGTTGCAAATATAAAATTATTCTTGTAAATAAAATTATAAATTATTCTTGTAAATCTTTGTAAAAGGTGTTCATCCGCAAAATGTTTCTGGTTGGGTCAAATGCGAATAAATGAAACAACGGCTACCAATCCGTGAATCCTGATAGTTCCAGGATGACGGGGTCTGGCTGTATATTGGCTTGACTAGGAATGGTCATCGTAAACAAAAGACATCTGTTAAGCAGAGGTCATTGTCATTCCAGTAGAATATTGAATTAAATAATTAAATAAAAACGGTTAAAACTGAAGAAATACCTGGACGAGGTTAAAATCTGATTAATTGTTAAATATGGCGGTAGTGAAAGGAATTCTTCATTGCTTGAGTGTCTGGAAAAGTTCCGAAGAACTTTGAAAAAAATGCAACAACTTAAAATCATTGGAAAAATTCATATTCTTCGAAAAACAGTATTAGTAAAATCGGCAAGAATACCAGGAAAGTGCTGCAGATTCTTAAAGATTTACCATTACTTGATTCCAATAGAACAACCAACTATTAGCGGGTTAAAAATTCATATACTAACAATAATTTCACTTTTAAATATACAAGATCAGTCAGTCAGTTATGTGCCATGCGTGATACACGCTTAAGCTATCATGTATCTTTCAATAGATGACTGACGAGGCAGATTTTTTTCTGCGGTAGACCAATTGCAACCCAAGGCTATAGAACCCGGTCTGTCCTACTATTAACCCATACCTCGGGGGAGAGGGGAGAGGGGAGAAGAAGAGGATTCGTAACTTTCCCAATGGTATTAGCACGTAAGTGAATGTAATGGATTCGACTTGAATTCGAACTCGGCTCTCCGATTCTTCAATCCGCTATCCATTACTCCACCGTGCCTCCTCAAATATGTTAAATCTTAACACGGACACCGTTATTCCAACTTCACTTGCTATATTGCCGAAACGTTTGATCCTCCTATGACGAAGCAGCCTGAAGATATGAAAAGAGCATCACATTATCACGAAGAAATATTCGATGGCAAGGTTCTGCATGTTGACAATTTCGAGGATAGGAAATTTCTATTCTAGATATGCCTGGGTAGTAGCGGTAATTTACTGTAAACGAGTGGGAATCTTTCATTTAAGTCACCATGCATAACGGCAAGTTTATATAAACGTCTATACTCTCACACATGGGCACACACGGGCACACACACATAGACACACGCACCATACATACACAGATACACGCACCATACACACACAGAGATCCGCGCAGCACACACATACGTACTGCACACATACGTACCACACACACACGCACACACACACACGCACACACACACACACATATATATAGATAGATAGATAGATAGATAGATAGATAGATAGATAGATAGATAGATAGATATAGATATATCGGTACTTTTCATAGCAATAACGACAGACCTTCGTAAGCATACAAACGCGGCCAGAATGCTGTGACAGTATTCGGATTCGGAAACTGAGCAAAACTACACAAAGAAAATGACTGCTACAAAAATAGCTACCCAAACAACACACGATAAAAAAAAATCTTATTAATCCTCATTACTGATCCATTATAAGTGGCTAAAGTGTTACCCGATAAGCCTGAAAACAAACAATTTCTTCACTAAAAAAAAAACTTGTAAGGACACATGAAAAACAAATGAAATAGAATTCCTTATCATATATATATATATATATATATATATGTGTGTGTGTATGTGTGTGTGTTAGACCTATTCTATAAATAACGCTAGCGTTAATTCCTGATGACAGACATTTTATTTCTGATTTCTAATTAATTTCTACCGTAAAATAATTAATTCTGTACTTACATTGTATTTATTATAGCTGTATTCAATCAGTAATGCTTGCATTAATCTCTGACTAACCGACAATACGTTTTCTTCTCTTTGTCAATGCATTTCCATTATATATGATAGTTCTGTTTACTTCTGAAAAATTTTGCATTAAATCTTGATCCTTTTTTTCTTGAATTTTAATGCACAGTACACTGACTTAATGCCGAAATTGTCTCATAATTGTTTTTATCAAACATTGCAATATTTGGTTATTTAAGTATTAAATTCTCTTATACTTTGAGATGCTAATGCTGTCATCTACTTTTCTTAAAACAAAACTAATGCTTATCTTATTGGGTAAATGACAAATGATACATTCCAAATGTATACGTGAGGTTTATATTTGGTGTATGTTTGCTAGCAAACCAAACATAACAATTAAGTAGCCAACTTTTGAATTATTATTATTATATTTGATGTTTGTGCACACGTTAAATATACTTTCGTTTCTCGTTATTTATGATATGAACGACAAAGAGCAAAGAGATAAAATCCATTCACCTTTTTTATCCGCACAAATCTTATACTATTTCCTAGATCAACAGCAACCGATGGAAATGTGTGACAGTCGAATTCATTTGTAGTTGGTTTGGTTTGGTTTGTAATGGTTTGGTTTGTAATGGTTTGGTTTGGTTTACGGTATATCAACCACAATGGATTATTTAATGCCGACAAAATTTTTATTGTTGGTAATATTTTTCCTTCAAGAAATCTATTTCTGGGAATATTTTTTCCTTCAAAAAATCTATTTCTGGCAATATTTTTTCTTCAAAAATCGATTTCTGTTAATATTTTCTTTCAAATATGTATCGTTGGTAATATTTTTCCAAAAAATGTATAACTGGTAATATATTTTT